GCTCCGGTACATTTACTAACCACTATATTAATATATTTTCGGCCGAGAATAAATAAATATAGTATTTAGTAAATAAACGGAACATCTACTCAAATAGGAGTATCCACTAAAAGTAACGCTTAATGTGCTAAAAACACCGCAGAGATGCACACATGCAGAAACACACACACGCACACACACGCACACACACAGACACACACATATACATATATATATATATATATATATATATATATATATAATCATTTACTCGAAAATTATAACAGAAGTATGTTATAAAATCACTGTTTTATCATGTGATCGTGTGGAATGTAGAATACTTATATGTATATATACATACATATATATATATATATATATATATATATATATATATATATATCACTCAGAGTACTTGAATATATGATTTTCTAAACAAAGGTGAGATGTGACACAAGACTAAAATATGGAGCAACTAGTGACGATGGAACTCACTCCACTGTTGTAATTGATCTAGCGAAACAGGCCTTCTTGTTACGCATTATAAACACACACACACAAATATATATATATATATATATATATATATATATATATATATATATATATATATATATATATATATATACAAAAGACACACACATTGAAAAAACAAATACTCGTACACATGCACATTTTTAATTTGTTGTATTTCTAACTAATGAATAAAAACGCTATTCATATAATTAACTGCACAGAGATGCATCATAACTAAATATGCATAGAAAAGCGAAAAAATTGATTTAATAGAAATAAATCCCATTTATGCACTTTAATGTGTAAAAAAAGTGTTCGTACAATGCAAATTTCAGATTTTAAAGCTTTTAAATTGCTTTAATACTCTAGATATTGGAATATTCTAGAATGTTCCAATAATGTTATCAGTAGTTATTTTTAACCCCATTATACAAACAGAATATTCTATATTTGATATTCATGCAAGAAAGTTATCATTATGGCAAGAGGTAAAGAATTGATAAATTCGCAAAAATAACTGATTGTTAAGCTCCGGAAAGTAGGTTAAAGTAACAGGAAAATCACAAAAATCCTGAATATTCCATTTACTACCATTAGTTAATTAAGTGCAAGGTATAAAAAATTTAAAATTGTTGTAAACCAAAGAATAACAGGTACTCCACGGAAGATTTCTACAAAAACTCCGAGGAAATTAATGCATCAAATTAAAAAATTATCTGATGGTTACTCTTCAAGAGTTGCAGGTTGATTTGTTTTCATCAGGAATCAGTGTCACTAAACGGACAATAAGCAACGAAATTCAGGGGAATAAAGTCACGCTCCCCTCGGAAAACTTCCCATTGAAAAAACACAGAAGTCCCCGATTGAAATTCGTATTGGGAAAGAGTATTATGGACAGACTAAAACTGAGCTGTTAGGACGCAATTCCAGAAATTATAAATAGAGGAAAGATAGCTATTCCTTCAAACAAAAGAACACAGTTCCAACCATGAAATTTGGGGGTGGCAGCATCATGGTTTGAGGATGTTTTTCTGTAAAGAGTACTGGAAGCATATCAGTAATAGATGGTAGAAGGAATTCCGCATCATATCAAAATATTTTGGAAGCAAATTTAATGATTTCGTTTGAAAATCTGGAATTTACTTCTGATTGGATCTTTCAACAAAATAAGTATACTGCAAAATGTACGAATAAATGGCTTGCTAAAAATAGTGTGAGTATCCTGAAAAGGCCAAGTCATTCCCCAGATTTAAACCCAATCAAGAATGGCATTACTTGAAAATTCAAATCCACTCGTGTGATCCAACATCCCAGATCTGAAGGTCATATGCGAAGAATGGAGCAAAATACCAACTGAAATTTGCAAATGTTTAATTGAGAACTCCAACAAGAGTTTGGCTTCTGTAGAAGTGAATAATGACTATTCTACAAAGTATTAAATGAAGATTATATATTACTATGGATAAATGTAATTTACTTTTATTAAATAATTTTTTTCTGTTTTCTATACATATTTAGTTATGTATCATTGTACAGTTAATTATATCAAAGGTATATTTATTCATTAATTGAAAATAAAATCAATTAAATATATATATATATATATATATATATATATATATATATATATATATATATATATATATATAAGCAAATATATGGATATAGATCCGACAGTATGAAGAAAAATATATACGGAAAAAACAAACAAAAATCCTTATATACAATTTATACTGTTTTAATGTTAATATGTCAACGTCGGACGTTTCGGTCAAATAAACAATCTTCAGGACATATTCATAAATTATAACATTATCAATACAACATGACAAAGACGATGTACATAAGAATATATATATATATATATATATATATATATATATATATATATATATATATATATATATATATATATATATATATATATATATTCAAGTAATCTCGATCGTCCTATTGATTATCGAAAACCTTGTGTTATCAGTGTAAAAGGAAATATTGATGTGGCTTCTTCGAGGATATTATACAGAGATGAATGTCCGAAAACTGGTTCAAATTGACATCACGTGTAACTGTTAAACGGCCCGTTACCACAATATAAAGAATGCAAAAATCATTAAGGGTTTTATTTTTGCAAAGTAAATATACACACATCAAGGTAACCTCACCTGTGATAATGTGTTCACTTTTATATTTGCATATGCTCTATCTCTGATATTGAGCACTTTATCCCATAAAAAACAGCACACATTAAAACTACATTTTTCATTAATATATATATATATATATATATATATATATAAATTTATCATATCGCAGCTTCTAATATGACACAAGAAACAAAGAGGCTATTCGAAGCTATGTAACGTAGTATTTCGTGTTTAAGGTCAACCTGGAAACATATGGGGGGAAACTCTCATACCTGGTAAAACAAAAACAAAACAACAAACAAAATAAATTCCCTTTGATCAGTCTGCCAAAAGAGAGTTGAATTAACCCCAAGATATCAGAGGCGGCAACAACAGTCAACGTATTCTAACGTCAAGTAGCTCAAGAGAACGAATGCATTAGTTGACTTCTACCTCCTGGGGAGAGCGCAATTTACGACCAAAATCATCATTATATATATATATATATATATATATATATATATATATATATATATATATATATATATATATATATATATGACTAGACATTTAAATTATATATACATATAGACATCTAAATTATAGATAAATATATCTCTCTCTCTCTCTCTCTCTCTCTCTATATATATATATATATATATATATATATATATATATATATATATATATATATATATATATATACATATATATATAAACTAGACATCTCAAGTATCGCGTATAAAAATCGGTGCGGCTAACATAAGGCGGATATAGGCACCATCTTGCTTCCCGGTACAATTGGCAATATGAGCAACTTAATACAGCTGGATTAACACTATGAACGCGGAACAATGCATCGAGCTACACCAGAAGCCGCGTTTTCCTTCCTGGAAATGCGGGATTAACAGGTTTTCCTGCAGGAGATTGCCCATTTAAAGACATTTATTCACATTAAAGAAAATCAAGAAGTGGTTCGTGTCTACCGGCTTTTGCATCGCAGAATGTCTCGGAATGAATACAGGGTGCAATAGACAGTTGTCGTCTTAATTACACATAACTGATAATAACACTGGCATCTCATTTTAACAGATAATTTACCACAGTTACACAAAAATAGCCACGCCCATCACACATTAGAATCTCTTATATCTCTTCGGGACGGTCTCCTTGTTTAAGTTGAATGCTGCCGTAATCCTTGCCTTTAGTTCTTTGGTGTTACAAAGAGCTGTTTTCGTCTCTCGTACAACTGCGCCCCACACATAATAATCAAGGAGGTGTAGTCTGGGGAGTCAGTTGGCCAGATGTAAGGGCTGATGTGCTTTCAGAAGTTGACTGACAGCCAAGACACTGTTCTCCTGCTTGTGTGGCATAATGCAAAGTCCTATTGCCAGACATAGTGTCTTCCATTTGCCACCCTCTTTATCCATACGGGTTCTACATCCCCAGAACACTTGAGGTAGGCCTTCGTGTTGACTCTGTGGTCCACACTAACAAATTCTGGTGTTCTTTTCTTCTCCGAACGACCACAATGAGATTTCCGAGCTGCCGTACCTTCATAATCACCATTAGACTCATCCGACTCATTCTGAATCCTCTGGACTATCGTCAGATTGACCCCAAACACACTGAAATGTTCGTATTGGAGTTTCCGGCGCGAATGCCAAGCAGTACGGCATGCCGTTTCCAAATTTCTGGCAGTGGGAATTTCGACATGGTGTTCTTTTGGTCACAGATGATGTGCAACTGACCCTACTGTAATATTCAGTCGACAAACTCAAAAACAAAGCGCTAAATTTAAAAATATATATATGTGGACAATTTATCCATCACATCCTGTACACTTTATTTAGAACATTTGGTACATTATAAAGTAAAGAGTTATCGATGACAAAGTCACATTGATGAATATTCTGACCGAAATTCTGCAAGACCTCTGATGGTACTTAAATTTCGATATGCTTCTTCTACCGGTCGTTAGCGATCATGGCTCTCCACATTTTTCTATTCTTGCCCATGCGGTATCATATATATATATATATATATATATATATATATATATATAAACACGTATATGAAGAAATATAGTTTTAAGGTGTGCTATATTCATGGGATAAAGTGCTCAATATCAGAGATAAAGCGTATGTAAGTATAAATATAAAAGTGAACATTGAAGTTAACACTCAGAGGCGATAGGCTGTTTTATGCGCCTCTGAGTGCTGACTTCAATGTTCACTTTTATGTATATAAAAAAAGGTATAAAAAAGAAAGAGCCAAGAACACGTTAGCCGAAAATAATCGTCTAGCATGCAAGTTCAAAGCACAAGGGAAAAAAAACCGATACGAGTAAGTAAATTAAATAAATAAAGTGCTCAATACAGTAAATAGTGCACATAGATAGATAGATAGATAGATAGATAGATAGATAGATAGATATAGTTAGAAATATAGATATCTGGTTGTTTCTATTGCTGACAACTGTACGTGCACAATTGCTCTGTGCTTGTCAAAAGATTATACTTGAATACTACTGTTATACCCGGTCTAGTGCTGCCAATATATATCTCAATATTCTTGAAAAAATTCAAAGAAATGTTTGTAATGTAATCGATTCTGATCTGGCATCTTGATTCAGACACATTTCCTCCGATGTCACATGGCTTATCCCTTTAAATGTGCTACTATATAGGTAACAAGGCATCACCGTTTTACTGCTGAACAAACTAGATGAAACAGTTTTTCTATTCTAATAGTTAACTCATCTTTCAATTCTCACCTGTGCAACTCCTTTCCGATTTCATTCTTCCCTGCCAACTACAGTCTTTAAAGTTTTAAATGTAATATCAATCGCTCTCTTCTGAATGTGTCTCCTTTGTCTTTCTGCCCATTTCTCTTCTCTAATGTTTACTCATTCTCTTTCACTCCCAATAGCCCCTGCCGTCTTAGTGACATTATCGCCTTACTTGGAGTGACACGATTAAAACAAAAGATTCACAGTCATATCCTATTTAATAATGGATGATAATTTCCAGCATTTTAATATCGGCAGAAGGTTATTAATTTAGTGTCTTTGATATTACAAAATCTGAACTAGATTTTTCTTCCATGAATATCATTGCCATCATCCTCAGTCCTATGATTGGGCGTGGTCGTACGGTCACTCTGCCGATGATCGTCTGACCACTTCCCTCCACGTATCAGGAGTGTATTCCGTAGTCTGGGTCAAACAAATCTGCCTGAGACCATCCATCACCATGTAAAATCATAGCCGCTCTGCCCTCACTTAAAAGCTAGGCGTGGCTGTTGATTCCAACAGAGGAAATCCCGCACTGGTCCTTCATACATAGCTATCGTGTCCAGTCTATTCATTGTGTTACAAGCCCTTTGACCCAACAAGAATTTTTATCCACACTTTGTTAGGTGTTGTTTTTAACTTTGCTGGATGTCTAGGCACCTTCCTCCACAGAAAAGCCTATTTGGAACCGGTTTAGTCATCGACGCTTCGATATTGGAGTAAGATTTGAAATAAATAGCAGTAATTCCCTGCAATTCCTTCACACACCATTTTCGAAAGGACGTATAATTTTATATAAATATATAAAATTATACGTATGATATGTATAAATATATAAAATTATACGTATGATATGTATTAATGAGTTGGGGCATATTTGGGCAAATGCCCAAATATGCCCCTAACTCATTAATACATATCTATGTTTATTATTTTTTATTTTATTTTTCCATATTGGAAGTATATAGGTTCAACTATCGACCGATTTACACACCTTCCCGATATTTTGAACTAGAGTAGCGATTTATTCCAATTTTTTATTCCTAATTAGCTGTCCAGGTTTCGGTTTACCTTGCGTTCTCATTTCTATTTCAACTATAGACTTCTAACATCTCCGTCTAAACTCTGAAATAATACTGATATTGGGTTCCCGATTACTTTTAATGTGTTTCCTTTTCTTTCATTTGCAGTAACCCCTTGCATCGTGGTGACATTATCGTCTTGACTGGGATGAATTGACAAGTACCCTAATTATTTTATATTCAATGCGAAACAAAAGGACAATAAAATACTTCAAAACAGAAAACTGCCACTCCTGAAAAACCAAATGAATCAAAAAAAAAATATTATCCTTTCTATAACTTCTATCATATTTAAAATCGAAAGGAATCTATCTAAATTCAACATAAAATTTGTTACTAATACATCCAAACCTTAGACAATACTAGACAAAACAATAAGGTAAAACATGAAGGAGGAGTTTACTCCATCGTCTGTAATAATTGTCACAAAAATATATAGGAGAAACTTCAAGTAAACTGAATCAAATATTATATGAACACTAAGGGGACGTTTTACAAAATAATACGTCAAATGTGTTGGTTGTCTAACGTAACAAGACTAACCACAATCATGACATTCACTGCGACGTAAAAGTCTAAAAAGTGCCTTAATCGCAAGGTCATCTAAAGTAAATTTGCGTCCTGAATCTTACAACATTTCACCATTCCTAATAGATCTTCTGATACCACAGTTTGCAATAACTACTTACAAAAGAGATCGAAAGAAAAAGAAAATGACTCCAAATGAATTCGGCTCGATAAAAAAAATAAAAATCTAAAATTCCTACCACCCCTCTATCGTGCGCATATGTAGTTCTACCAACATAACAAATTTAGTATGATTCAGTCCTGATGGAAGAAACAAGTCTCGGTTAAACTTTTTACACTTTGTCATGCAATTTCCCTAATACTGATTTTGATACATAAAAATATACACCATTATCTAACAATATATATATATATATATATATATATATATATATATATATATATATATATATATATATATATATATATATATATATTACTTGGATATTAACTCCTATTAGTGTTGACGATTGTCTATTCTATTCTTATACCATGGAGAATAATTTTCGGATTATCTTTAAGAACATTCCCAACACAAACAAACGGGATTATTTCGTCCATTTAACTCTACAAAAGGAAAAAACTTATCAGAAGAATGAGATGGAAAGCCTACTTTTTTCTTCGTGACCAAGACCATATGTACAAACGTGAAGATTTCGGTTTTAAGAGTTTAAAGACAGCACCAATAATTATTTATTCTACATTCAACACCATGATGAGAAGTGTTGAAACAAAATGTTTTTTTTTTTTTAGTGATTTTATAACATATTTATGTTATAATTTTCGAATAAATAATTCTGTCCTGGACATTGAGTGCTACCTGGATTCTATTTCTTTGGGAATTCCTATATATATATATATATATATATATATATATATATATATATATATATATATATATATATATATGTATGAATTCCCAAGAAATGGAGCGCCATCACATCAAATGACTCCAATGTATTTCCCTTGTCTATCACTAAAATTACTGGTTGAGAATACAGTTTAAATGTACATTCTGTCCGTTTCTCTTCCTTATCTATATTTAAAGTTGGGAATGTGTTTGCTTTCATGTTTCTAGGAAAATGTTCTTGTCATTCTGAATTTTTCTCGTGGTTTGCATTCTCGAAGCCATCACTTACTTTCGCAGAGGTTAATCCACATTTTTTTTTCTTGTTTTCCTTTTACCAATTACGCAAATCCGTTTTTGCGACATCCAGAAACCAGTTTTTCCCCGTTTTTTTCCAATGTTTTCAATTTCTGTCGTTATTATTCTCTGATCTTGGTTCAGCTTTGCGCAATTTACAGTCTTGTGATTCCTTCACTTAATAACTTTACAATTTCTACTTTCTCATATAAGGTCATCCTTCTTACGAAGCATTGCAATTTACATCTGTAATTGAAAAATAAACATCACTAACTACGCAGTTATACACAAATCATTATGCACATATACATATATATATATATATATATATATATATATATATATATATATATATATATATATATATAAATATAACTATGTATACATATATACGGAGAGAAAGTGATGAGAGAGAGAGAATATGAACTATATTTGAGCTGCCTAAGAAAATTTCAAATGATGAAATAAACTATTAAACTATTGTATATATTTTAAATAATTAGATATTTTAATTAAAATTCACATGATAATAATATATATATATATATATATATATATATATATATATAATGTATATATAAATATATTCAAATAAATATTACAGTTATGTTTGAAAAACCTTTTTAAACCCAGCTAACTTTGTAATTATAGTGCTGAAGTATAAACCTTTCATAATATAATTATCTAATATATATATATATATATATATATATATATTTATATTTATATATATATATATATATATATATAAATACGTTTTTCAAACAAGACAGTATCCTAATTATAATGCTCAATAACGTTAGTTATAAATATAAAATTAAATGTTCACTTATACTATGTGTTCTCAACGTGGCGCGGAGATTACACTCAAATGACTTTATTTTCAAAAGCCCAGAAAATTTGGGAAATATCTTAAGTTAAATTAAATATTACAATCAAGATTTTTGACAGTTTGATTTAATATCCGTCAAACTTTTCGTAGGAAAAACATTAGTACACATTTAATTTCATTTTATATATATATATATATATATATATATATATATATATATATATATATATATGTCAAATATATGGTGCAATTCAATTTATATTACAATGAATCATTCATACAAAAATAGATTATTAAAGTTAATGATATTTTATACTATTAACTTTACTAATCTACTTTTTTTGTATGAACGATTATTGTATATATATATATATATATATATATATATATATATATATATATATATATATATATATATATATATATATATATATATATATACTGTCGGTCACTGTGCGTGTTTCTATAAATAAATACGCTAAAATCAACCGTCGTCCCTACCGTGCGCCGACGGCTTAAGGTCAGAATCTCCGACTAACACCATTTCACTCGGTTTTCGATCCTTGCTGGAGGCAACCGGATGTCTAGTCACACTGATGAGCTGCGAAACAGTCTGTGGATGACCTTATATATATTTTTTTCTTCACCTGATTATCGAAAATAATAGCGTGATGACGTCAACTAATATTTTGAAATACAAAGTCACAACCGGGTTATAGAATGAGCGAAAGAAAATTGGAGGGAGATAGAAGGCGGGAAATAATAATTTCGCACACTGAAGAATAGGAACAACTCTAAATAAACTATCAAGAAACCAGAAAATATAACTACATAGATCAATATACTTTTGTTGTTGAATTTCATTGGCTGGTGGCTGAACGGTCTAAACATCTTCCCATCCACCCTCACAAAAAAAATTCCAAAAGCCGAAAAACCACTGAAGCATATGTGTCCAAAATAATATGTATCAGAATATTACCGAGATTTTTAAGTGGTTACATGCCGGAAAATATATGATGTCGAAATCCCAAGCCTTTAATGAAAGGGAAAATATCACTGATGATACAACATGGAGCATTCGAA